GTTGGGGGGAGGGTATCAAATTTCGTCCAACTGGAGACTGTGCCGTATCCACGTCCGCTGCCCGCCTCTGGTTCCGCTGGAACACGTTGCCAGCTATGCTGAGGTAAGTACCTCGGCGGATCGTCGCTCAACTCGGCGCACGTGCTGAACGGTTTTGCTGGGGAGGGTCTTGGGCTATCCAGTAAATTTGGATCTGCCCGTTTTCGGATTTCCCGCTAACAGTGAATAACTTTTAGTGGGTTAAATGGCAACCACTAAACACTAAAAGCCTAAAAAAAGCTAAGGGGATGGCTGGGGGCCTATTAACGCCTTGAGCCCAGGCTTGTCGCACCCAGGACTGGTCTGACAACCTTCTGGGTGCGTCTTTTGAAGGTTGGACCCTGCAAAATAGTGGTTTTCGTTTGGGTTTCCCAGTAAAACCACAAACAAATCGCCAAACAAAAATAACAGAGTCTTCTTGAAACGGTGCTGAAATCTTTCGGGAGGATAGGCTCCCGATACGCAATTTGTTCAGCCAGACCTCAATTAGCCAAGTGACATGTAACAAAAGGCAGTTCCTTGCCTTTCGATCGGCCTGCTGTGCAACCTTCCAACAGGTGGGCTGTGTCGTGGCTCCCTGAAAACCATATTTCATATCATTGTCCAAATTCACTAAAGGTCCAGGACACACACCCACCGGTCAAAACCAATGGTACCATTTGGGGGTAGGTGCACCACCCATTTTAGTCTATTTTAGTGGGGATTGGGATGTTCACAGGTGGTACGGGATTTTGACCCATGGGCATATCATTGTCCGCTTGACTAAAGGGTCCAGGACAAACACACCCACCACACATGTCGGGGTTGACCCAACATCATTTCACCTTTTGGGGATCTTGGCGACTGTTGCTTACCCAACATGTGCAGGTTTCACACCGCGCCGTGACTTTTGTGAACAGTGTCGACCTCCCACAATAAAATCAAACTACCTAGGAACCCGTACACTTGCATTTGCTTGAGACTACTGCACAACACGTTTGACTATCCTCCTTCAGAACCCAAGTTCATTGACTGATTCGACCTTAATTGGTGGTCATATGTCATGCCAAGGTGAAAAGCTGCTTACGGCGTCTCCTCTTGACTTAAATAAAGCCTTCGTGCCAGGATTCGCGCTTGCACGTGTCATGGGCATGGTGCATTCAGTTGCTCACTGGATGTATCATGCTGTCGGTTCCATAGCAGCCTGCGACACATCCACAAGTGTAGCAAGACGCCAACTAGAAAACAACACATCGTTTAAGCCACAAGAGCATTAGCAGCCAAATTGCGCTTTTAAGGTCAATGCCAAGTGACTTGCCATACCTGTTTTCAGTTGGCCAACAGGCAACCTTTCAACAGCAAGCAAGTAAACAAATGCTCATTGATAAACGTCGGTGACAGCTCTCTCTCTCTCTCTCTCTCTCTCTATACATCTACATGTAGATACATAGATACACACAGAGCCCGACCGGAGAGAGAGGGGCCTACTCTACACCTTGGTCTGCTGCTCGTGCGATAAACAGTCGAGCCGGACCTGACACCCAGAACGGAACACATCGCAAGTCCCACAGAAGGTGCTGTCTATCAAACAACAGGGGGGTGTTTCTCCAACTCGGAATCCATTTTTCAACTAAAGCCGTTGGTTCTGTTTTGGTTTCCTCTTAAATACCAACAAAGGGGCCCAATTTCCATTTTGAGAAGATCGAACAAAATTGCACAAGAAACATCTTTCCCACCTGGCGACATGGTCTCGGCTCTGACCGACGTTCAAGTTGTATGGGGTGCAAGAACACGAGAACGGCAAGACTTGGCCCAAGAAAGTCATGCAAATTGATTCCCCTCCCCCAGACTAACATGGAAGCTCCCTCCCTTTGATAAGGCTTGGTTCCATTTGCAGAGGCCTTCTGGGAGCTTCCATCGTCTGAGGGAGTGTAATAGTCGAAGCCTTTGAGCCGCAGAGGTCCCGGAACCAAGACCTGTCTTTGAGGCCACGTTGCCGCTGTCCTTGTGCATCTTCATGATGGTATCCTCAGAGCCGATTTCTCATCCTGGCCTTCCAAGGTCTCCTTTAGGCCTAGGCCTTGTTTTAGAGGCCTTGAATCAGGTTTGAGGCCTCAAGTAAGGGAGGCCTCGAAAAGGCAAAGGGCTTGAAAGGTTGGGGGTGGCCACCTCGGTCAGTTTCTGGCAAATATGCTGAAGGGTCTCGAGGGGTAGCCAAAGCCAAAAACTCTCCTTTGCAGAATCATAGCTACAACCTTCCTGCCATCTTGCTTGGGTCGCTCTTTAGTTCGAAGCCCCCCTTCGTAGGTATCTGCTTGAGAAATTGGAGCCAAACTAACAACAAGATCTGCAAATGTTTGCCTGTGTCAGCAAAACGCTGTGCTGCATTTTGCCCAGCAAAGTGACTCAGAACACCAGCTGGACCGTGGACAAAGCGTGGACAACCCCTGGAAAGGCCTCAAAAAGGCGTGGAAAGGCCTCAAAAAGGCGTGGAAAGGCCTCAAAAAGGCGTGGACGCAATGCCAAAAAGCGAGGACAGCACAGAAAAACCCAGCAGGACCACATGACGGTACTTCCAAAACCCAACCTTTTGCTTGGGCCAACTGCAGCCTTCGTGCAAGAGCGTGGCGTTTGTTCCACGAAAAATGCGGGGTCGCCGAAACCTTGCCGACACCTCCAAAGGAAAGCATGGAATCGTAACTCCACTGGAGTTCGTCCGTTTAAACAATTGCCTTGGAGCAAAGCAATGCGAGGTAAAGATGTCAGATATTGAGAGCACAAAGGACAACATCAATGTAGCGATCTCGTGGGTGACGTACCATATGCAGCCAATGTAAAACCATGTTTTTTGGGCCAGGAATAAGGGGCCAAAGGCCTTGAAAAGGCGTGGATACTTACCACGAATACTTCCGGGTTTACAAAACAAGGCCTCTTGACAAATCAAGGCCTCTTTCCAGAGGCCTCCTGTAGACAGGCCTTTTGAAGCGCAGGGACATGTCAACGGAACTAAGATGGCTTCCACTTCCACTATCCCGAAACCACTACCCCAAGGGGGTAATGCCATATACAGCCACTACAATTTGCCACTATATACAGGGTACATACCCATGTTTTCTCCTTGGGGCTGGTTTGGGGATTTCCCCCTACATAGCCCTTTTCGAAATGGTCTCCAAAGCAGCACTGTTGTTAGTAACTCGCTCCTGCGGATATGCCCATTACAGAAAGGATTCATAAGAGAGCCAAGGGTTATCAACAAGGGCCATAGACTTCCACTCGACCTAAGGAACGTACCACGTGCTTCTCAATAATTGCTTTGATCCTCTCTGGTGCATCCTCCCGGGCCCAGTGACTTTGAGCCGCCTCCAAACAACACCCACCAAGAAGTCTCTTGGACGCACGTGATTCCCGCCAAGTACCCAACTTCTCCCCCAACAGTCCATTGCCGGGAACCCAAAAGCACGGATAGTTGGCGTTTGCTTGGGCCCAAGAGCACTTGGAGGTTTCCGGAGCCAACCTCTGAGCGAACTTGTTCTATTGCACATCCCTGGCAACTCCGAGCAACGCCACCTGGAAGACTGGCGTGCTACTAACAGCCTGGCGGTGGTTTGGGTGCATTCTCCAGCAAAGGAAACGTCCTCCGATCGCGAACCCATGTGCAACTTTTGAGAAAGCCATGACATGCCCAGTGGCTCCATTTCCCTGTGTAGTAGGTAGCCAAGGGGTAAGAGCGAGTTCCTACGTTGTCGTGGCTTGCCTGGGATGCACAGGGATACCTCAGCCGAGCTATGTCTTTCGACTCTGGGAATGCTCGGGATCTCACCACAAGTTCCACTAGCCCCGATGACAAATCCCAACCCTCCCAAAAACAATCATAGTTTTGGTGAAGGTACCCACATGTTCCCATGTCAACTTGGGGAATGATCAGCTCGTCCGCGTGCCATGGACGTGAGCGTGTCCCAAATTGGAGTCCCGCTGGCGACCTTTTTGGGGATCGGGGAAGCCCGTGTCTAAAACCGATCCAAAGAAATACACTAAGCATTGAAGTGACATCCTCAAACAAATTCCTCTTTTGATTGTGCGTCGCAGGGAGGACGCCTCGTCCGCGTTTTGAAAGCTCTCAGAATCTTCACTCCAACAGACCAGGTTGTTTTGGGGAGTTTTTCGGGTTTCGGGGTGTTACTGGCAGTTTCGGTGACGGCTGAGCGTCAATGTTCAACTTGTCGTGGGACTTCTCGAAGAGCTGAAGCCTAAGAAGTCCGAAGGTCGAAGCGGGGTAGAAGGTGGGTGGGATGAGAATCCTTAGCGGGTCCAGGGATCCTATCAGGGTTGCTTAGGGAGCCATCCTGGGAGCCTTGAAAAACCCCCCACATGCCAAGCCGCTCATTATGGGCTCGCGTCAGCAGCTGAATCGCCATATTTTGGCGGTCCTGGCGAACTGTTGGGTGTATCTTTTCTTGGGGGATGCCCTTGTGGTTTTATTGGGGCTGGGGAGGGAGGGGAAGGGGAGGGAGCCCAAATAAGCCCTAAATACGGCCTTAATAAGGGTGTAATGGAGTTTTTGTTGGGCTCCCTCGCCCTCCCCTCCCTCCCCCCCAAGACCCCATGATGGTTCGTGTTCAAAGGGAAATAAAAGAGACACAACGCCGCTAATATTTTAAGACACTTCCGTGGTCGTCAGAGGAATCTCCTTGAAAGAAAAGTCGACAGGGAAAATCGCCGCTGATTCATTTGGGGGTTGATCAAACGCTCCTTTACATGGGATGACCATTGGGTGGAAAACCCTTAATTACCATATATGGTTCCCACTAAAGTGGGCCAGGAATGTTGATCAACCCTCAGTTGGATGATTTGTGCAAGGGTATTCATCCGGTTTCAGTACCATATACCCTACCAATGGAAGGAATCCCTACAGTACGAAAGGAACCGTCATGGCTATGACACTGACTACCTTAGCTTTTGGCCCCAACCTAAAATAGCCTCCTTGATTTCAGCCCACATTTAGTGAATCGGAAATGTGAGATCATGTCAAACGAGATTCCAAATAAGGTCGCAAACCAAAACGGTTCCGTCGCAATCATGTATGCCGAGCATCCGAAGACCCCTTTCTTGCCCCATGCCTGACAACGGATATAGATCGAGGGCCATCTTGTCCGTGGCTGATTACAAACGACTGGGGATGCTTTCGGAACAGGACGACTTTCAAGAGAATGCAATATGAATCACCCGCCGGCGTTTGCAAAGTTGTTTGTCACTTCCCGATTGGCACTCTCCTTTATGCGCGCCATGCGAAACTTGTCCATGTACTCCGTCACCTTCTCATCGTCCTGGTCCTAGGCGAATACTGGTCCCAGAAATCCCAGACTACCAGACCTCCACCTTCCAAGGGTCCATACCTGACTTATGCGCGGGCCATGTTGGGTAACTGGTCATTGGAAGGTCCTGGCTTGACCTTTGAAGGGAATCCTTTCCCTCCCCACCCCCCCGCCAAAAAACAAAAAATAAAGCTAACACATAGACATGGCTCTGGAGTTCTTGTTCATAATCAAAGATTCGGAGGTGTCCGTGCCAAGGATCCAGTTTGTAGACCAGGTCCGCGGTGAACTGGGGATACTTTGCCAGAAGGTCCCTGGCGCGTCTCTAGCTCTCCACTGCCGGTGTCGTTTCTGAATTCCCCGAAAAAAAGCAAAGCCTTTGGCTTTCGGGCTTTGAGGCTGGCTTGGGGGTGGGGGGGGGGGGAAGACCTCCAACATGTTTAAAACCACAAACTGATGGTTTTCTCAAAAAAGAAGAAGAGAAAGTTCCGATCAGCTACCTCAAATGGCCTTGAAAAGACACACCCAATCTCACAACGAAATCCAAACTATGTGGTCTCCCTTCCCCTTTCAACCCTAGGGCAAGGGGCTTCAAAAGACACCCAAAGTGATCCAGTCTTCACACACCTTGACGGGCCCCCCAAACACCCCAAGCCAACACCCTTTGCAGAAGGCTGGTGACGAGGCTGCCCGGGGAATTTTTAGGGAGCCCTGACTTCGCGGCGCTGAGACACACTCAGCTTGCGTGGACCTTCCTGCAGAGTTGATTGAAATGTGCCTTACTTGAAATGAGGATACCTCAACAAGGGCGGAAATATACATGGCCATGGGTCAAAATCCCGTACCCGCAGTGAACATCCAATCCCCACTAAAATAGACTATTGACCCACAGCCACATATACAACTGGAAAAGGCAAATATATTTCCTTTGTCACATTTGAAAGGCTCCTTACGTCTGGTCAAACAAAAAGCAAACCGGTAAGCCCTAAATCTGTGCGGGACTGACCCGTGGACCGAGCGAAGAGTAGATCACCTTGTGCAGGTGAAAAGAAAACCATCCCCAAACCTACAAATTTGGGTGCGTCTGTTCTTAGGGAGCCCCAAAGAAGAAAGTTGTTCCTCCTGGTTTCCCTTTCAATCCACCAAAAGAGGGGTACCGAGGCTGAAAAGAAGACAAGCCAGCAAAAAAAAGCAAAAACCTATCCAGCGGGTGGTTTACGACTTGGGGCCGTTGCCTCCCCAAGTGCGGTGCCAAACCCATGGCTCTCGTGGGGCGAGCGCTCAGGCATGTTCAGCATTTTGTCAAGCTCCATGTGCAGAGTCAACGCGATTCGAGCGATTCTTCCGGTTTCCTTTTGGCTTCCCTTTGAACAAGCCTGAAAAGGGTACCCCCCAAAAACTGAAACACAAATCTGAACCATGGACCGCATCATGTACAGGGGTCAAATGAACATATTACAGCTGCCCTTGCAAGGGGAAGCAAAAGAATAACTTTGGAGACCATGGACTCATGGATTGCGCTATACGACATGACGCTGATCCTTGACCTGGACGAAACCAAGCCAAAACGGGGGAAAGTTCCTAACGGGGTCCCGTGTTGAACTGCAGCAGACGCGATGATCGAACCCCCAGTCAGGTTGGAGCAGCCACTAACAATGTATGATAATCAGAGTAATACATATTGATATTCATACTAATACTAAACATAATACTCTTGACAATAATACAAATAATAATAATAAAAAAAAACACTAAGTACATTAGCAACAGTAATAATCAATAATCAGGGTTTCTAAAGTTATAATAATACACTGGACATATATATATATATATATAAATGATAATAGAAAACACGACAATACTGATAATACTAAAATAAGTACTACAAGTAATAATGATCATGCTTATACTACTAACAATGATAAACGAGCATGATTAGTAATACTAGTCATACGAATACTAACAAATAATAATGCCCACCTATGATTACGTAGTAGAAAGCCCCTAAATAAAGCTGAGCCCGCCCCAAATTCAATATATAGTAAAATACCCCTAAATAAAGTTAATCGTTGTCTCCCAAATACATTTGGGTGCGGATTTCATTGGGGATTGTTCTTCTTTTCTTCTTATGTTTTTCCTTTTTCTTTTTTGTTTTTTCGTCCGGGCCAATAAAATGTTGTTTTTGTCCCGAAATTGACGCATTACATACTAGCCCGTCAACATCCCCAGCATCGTTTTCAACATCCCCCGCATGTCCAACCAACATCCCTAGCAACAACAACAAATCGTGGGTGACAAAATCCAACAAGTAGCTAGCGTGTTGACGAGGTCAACAAAAATGATGATTCAAATAGGAGGGCATTTCAGTCCCTGTAAAAAACAATTAAAAAGCGCGGGGGGGTTGGGGTGGGGCGGCAGCCCCAACCATGATGTTCGCAGAAGTGATGATTCGAATAGGGGTGCAATTAAATCTCTGTAGCAAATCTAAAACGCAGCGGGGGGGTTGGGGGGGGCGGCAGCCCCCCGATGTCGGAAGAATCGATGATTCAAGTAGGGGTGCAATGATTCAAGAAAGGGTGCAATAGAATTTCAAAGGAAGCGGGAGGGTTGGCCGGGGGTGGCTTCCCCTATGATGTTTGAAGAAGTGCATACATACAGACATACATGGATTACACAGATTACCTAAAATGTCGTATTTTGCAGCATTTTCTCGCGAAATTGGACGCTCGAAAAAGTGATGATTCAAATAGGGGTGCAATTCAATCTCTGCAAGAAATCTGAAAATTAGGGGGGGCGGCACCCCCCCCCCCAAATATTGTTTGAAGAAGTGTTGATTCAAATAGGGGTGCAATTACTCTGCAAACAATCTAAACAGCAGCGGGTGGGTTGGGGGGGGGGCTTCCCCCCCCATGATGTTCGAAGAAGTGATGATTCAAATAGGGAGGAACTAGTGATGCTCATGATGCGGGAAGCCAAATCCAAAAACCAATGAAAGGGTGCAAAAGCCAGGATGCGAAAAGCCAAAGCCGCCAAAGCCGCAAAAGCTAAAACGCTACCTGCCGAAGCAGAACTGGGAATGCAGAGGATGCGAAAAGCCAAAAAGCCACCAGAAGCTGCATAAACCAACAAAAAGCCGAAAAGCCCAGAAACGCCACCTGCCGAAGCAGAACTGGGAATGCAGAGGATGCGAAAAGCCAAAAAGCCACCAGGAGCTGCATAAACCAACAAAAAGCCGAAAAGCCCAGAAGCCGAGAAGCCAAAAAGCCAAGAAGCCGAACAGCCAAGAAGCCAAGGAGCCAAAAAGCCAAGAATCCAAGAAGCCAAGAAGCAAAGAAGCCAAAAGCCAAAAAGCCAAGAAGCCAAAAGCGAAAACAAAAACCCAAAACAAACACACAAAAAAAAGCATCCTAAAATAAATACCCCTCCAATAAATTTTGGCCCAATCCCCCCCGCCCCCCCTCGGTTGCACCAAATTCCTAGTTTGCCATTCTTCTGGATTCCTAGTTTCCTCTTCATTCGCATTGTTCTGGATTCCTAGCGTCCTCTTCATTCCCATTCTTCTGGATTCCTCGTTTCCTCTTGAGTCCAATTCTTCTGGATTCCAACTCCAAAAATGCCACTTTGAATACTACATAATTTAAAACAATATTTTAGCTTTATTTAGTGGAGTTGGGGAGTTGAGGGGGGGGGGGGGCGGCCCCCTGAGTAGCAATAGTAGCAATAAATAATACTAATAATACTAACCACAATCAATCGTAAATAAGAACAACAATGTATAGTAAGGCGCCTTGTATAACAGTAAGTATTTCAGCCCGTAAGAAGCCGATTTCAGGCGGACCTGGCAAACCTATGGTACCGTAGGCGCCCTATTCCGGGCAAAGACCTGGGCACCAAAAGCGCTTGGTCCGTAGCTCAGTTGCCCCGTAGGCGGAAGCAAAAGGCTGAACAAAGCTCTTGGGGCCGTGACGAGACCACAAAAGAAGCCAAAAGGTCAAAAGCTTGGTTTGGACAACTGGGATGATAAGAGCCCTAAAATAGACAAATCAAGTTCTGAGAAGACCGGTCGAAATTCCAAGAGTTGGATCTGGCATGTAGGCCTGCCTCATCTGTATCACAGAGAAGCCGTCGTATCCGTCAGTGTGGCAAGCGTGCGCGAAGCGAGCCTCATGCAATCTTGCGGGACAAAACCCTGCACCTAAGATGGATGATGGTTGAGAACCCCTACGGATTGTATCAACCTAGCTGGCTTTGTCCAAAACCCCTCCGGAAAGAACAGTAAACTGCATGGACGAGTGAAGTGGCTCTTACATCTGTCCAAACAAGCAGCACGTACCACACCATTTGTCCGCTCCAAACAGCCTGGCGTGTCTGTTTTCCAAGGAAACCTCGTTTTGGTGGTAGTACAACGAAAACCAACAAAGAAGCCAGTTTGGGGGGTAGCATCAAACAACACCCCCCAACCCCCAGTTCTCCAACTGCCGGGGCATCCGCGAGCTCCCTCTCCGAGTTGTCCCGAGAATGCCTCGGTGCGAATGGGGCATGCCAACATGTCCCTAAGGTTTTTGCTTGCTGAGTGGACCGGCCAGGGGCACTTTTAGGCCCTTCACACAAAGGCCCCTGCCTAGGGAGCTAAGCAGCCCTTTTACCCCCCCCCCCCAAGCTCAAAAGCTAGGCACCCGTGGTGGATCCACCGACCTAACCGGGCCAAGATGAAGCAGCAAAGAGGTTGTTCAAAGCCAACGTCAAATGGCTGTGGGTCAAACAAAAGTGCCCAAAATTGAACCCTGGTACATGGAAACATGGACCAAACCTGCGGTCTCGTGGTTTGGCTTTGACCCATACCCCATTTGCCCCACTGTGCAAACTTGGAACTGGACGATCGCAAGCTATACCGGGCAGCATCCGACTCCAGTGCCCTGTCTACGGGGTTGTGTGAGGCCCCTGTCAGATGTCAGTCATTTCCATACCGAAAAGGACAAAACGGCCCCCTTCGACTCAACAGTTCTCAGCTTCAGTACTTGAAAGCTCTCTGTTCCAACGCCCCGTGCCTTTCTTAAGCCTCCAAAAGCCCTAGGTGGCGCAGGATTCAGAAGGTACCGGTAGCTGCAGGGTCTGACCATTTTTCTGACAGGTCCTGTTGAACGGACAGGTTATGGTTGGATCAATGCCAACCATGCGCTTTACCCAGTTACAGGTAAACAACTAATGTTGTCCCGGTTTGCCCATGCGTGCAAGCCCCACATGACCCTCTTGTTGCTGTTGATATCTGAATGAACATCTCCGCTAGTCTCAACTCTCACCAGGATCAGCGCCGCCGGGGATGGATGAACCCCGGGCAAAATCGGACGAACCACCCACCAACTTGTTTTTTTTTGTTTTTTTTCAGTGTCTCTTTGAACCATTGTTTACCTCACTCGTTGGGACAAGCTTTGGTGAGCTTTCTGTAAGGAGGACATGCAGCGAGCAACTTCAAACCGGGGCTTCTCTAGTTGTTTCCAGGCCTTCCTCCTTCAATAGCGCAACGCTTGGGTGGGACGTAGAATTAGTGACCTACTCCAGGTGTTTGTCCTTTTGTGGATGGCTCTGGCTAAGTTGTCACAAGCTCACCAGGCAAAACGTGCTTATGTACCATGATCCAAACTTGCTTTCAAATGCTGGAGTTGTAACGTGTGCAGAGTGCGGCGTTCGGATCTTGTCCATCCAAAGGCTTGATCCTTCCGATTGGGTGTCTTTTCTTGTGCTGACCCTGTTTGCCCTTTGATAGCATTTGCCCCTTTTTCCCATTTGAGCGTCATAAAATCCGGCTCCCAAACAGGGGATAAGTCTTCTTTCGCGTTGCCTGAAAAAACGCGACAAAGGCCTCCATGTGTGGTCAGTCCCCTAAAAACAAACATAGTCACGTTAAACACCAGCATGGAAAATTCTTACCTCTCTTAAAGGATGGAAGACCACAAAAAGGGGACTGACTCCAAGAACAAACGTATGGAAATTCCGGGCTGGGGCGCGAATGCCGCTCCAGAGTTGCCGAGGCAAACCAGGACAAGCAGCCTGCGCTATTTGCCATCGAAACTCGTTTGGCAAAAAACAAAAATATTGGGAACTCCCTGAAAAGTGATTGGTGGACCTAAATCCCTGCCAAAATGATGTCCAAAGGGTCCCTAATTAAAATTCATACCCATTTTGTGAGGCATGGTCATGAAGTCCTTAGAAGGAATCCTTATCATGGTTGTCTAAATTCCTATCAAGGGCTCCATGACCACGCCGTACCAACCCGAATTAAACGGGTCTTTTGACTTTTGCGCAAATGGTCGTGATCGACATATGGTCTTTTTGGAGAAAGGGTGGCCTCCCTTTGGTTGTCCTCAACCCAGAAAGGGGACCGAAAGACGAGCCACCCATCCTTTCTGGACCAAAGGTCCAATGCCCATGGCGACTGTATCATGGGATTCCCGCATCACCCAAAGTGGCTCCAAACCTCACACCATGGCTCAAACTAATCAACGTATCTATAGAAATACCAAGCACCCAAACAAAGCACCTGGGTCAAAACTCCGATAGCAGAAACAGCTCTTCTCGAATTGGTCGTTTCAGTCCTTTGAGACAATCATCCTTCAAAGTAAAAACCGAGCTTTCGCCTCATGGCTCACTCCAGAGGGGAATCCCGAAATCGAAGATCCACTCCTGGTGGCAAAAGCAGAACCAACGGAAACATCGTTTATTACTTTTTGCAAAATCCCACTCGCAGCATGTGGGTTCCCGAATGAAAAAGGCTTCCTTGTCACCGGTTTCCCCCCAGGTGCCTTTTATATACATGGCACACGTTTTCTGGGCATATATTTTACAGGTGAAGTTCGACCTCATCTGCCCTTTCAAAGAAACACTGGGAATGTGTCAAGCATAGGGCAAAGAAGGTTCCGTTCAGAAAATCCTTTGAGTTTCAACCAGAAAACTAAGCCCTCAAAATAGGAAAGACGCACCCAACTAGGCATCCCCATCCCCATCCGTGTCGCACGTTTCAAGGGAAAAACACCCCGCTCTTGAGGGGCGTCGAATGGCACCCACAAGATTGCCTGGCAGTACTCCGAGTAGCGCAACACCAAACAGCCAGCACCAACAACCAACCAACAAACCAAACAACAAACCAAACAACCAGCACCAACAACCAGCAAACCAACCAACCAACAAACCAAACAACTAGCAAACCAACCAACCAACAAACCAAACAACTAGCAAACCAACCAACCAACAAACCAAACAACCAGCATCAACAACCAACCCAAAGAACCGAACATCCTAAGGGCTAGGACTCACCAAGTATTGAACCCACCAAACTAGTGAAAGACATCAGAGAGAACACGGTACAAGTATTGATTAATACGTTTTTGTGGGTGCCTTGGTTTGTCTCATAACAGAACTTTAATGTGAGCCTCAGATGGTCACTTTGATACCGCCCTCATACAAAAGACACACTCATCTGTACTGTTGGCATTTTTCATGGCGACCCACAAATTGGTGTTGCTTGATCTACAAGCTGGAACAGCTCAAAAATCACTTGAGGATCACTGACTCCCTGAGTGCACTGGCCAGAAAAGCAAGTCGTCTTTGTTGCTTATTTTACATGGGCTTCCCCAAAAGAGCTAGAGAGGCTAGAATAAGGGTATCTTTTTTTTCTGTAGTCTATTTTAGTAGGGGAACCCTCCGCCAAATAAGGGTAAAAGGGCACTACTGGGGGACCTAGTCAGGACATGAGCTTAGCCCGAGTTTTTAAACCACAAACGTAGGTCTGGCCACCGCCGATCGCCTGCAATGACCGACGACCCGGCCAGGATGTGGAAAACGCTGTAGAGCCGACTCGTGTCCTGGCGAGCGAGACTGTCACACTGGCTGGTGAAGCCTTCATGAATCTAACTTGGTGCGATAGGGGATCGGACGTGGAATTTGAACCCAGTCTCGAAGGAAACCATTGGACATGGATGGATGGTGTGTTGTTTCTGTGTTCTTTTTTCCCGGGTCATTCCATTTCTCATTCCCAATTTCGCAGCACATAAGTTGAAGATCCAACTCGATGGCCGTCGCGGGAACCCAGGACTTGCTCCCAAGAAGGCGTCCTTGGCCAGCTGAGAGGTACGGTAGGGACCATCTCTAGGCTCACGGGAAACCCGCTGGATGGGTATGGTAAGTGGAACACGAGTCCTGCATGGTTTTTCGGGGGATAGGCGTCAAAACATTCGGAACCCAACGAATGGCAGTGTCCCTTTTTGGCGTCCCTGAAAAAACCCACGGCGAAAAGGAGACCTTCAAGACTATGTACATACAAGATCTGTGGTTACACCCGGATTCCAATGCAATTCCTCGTGAATTCGGACTGCGGGCTGCCAGTTGTCCATTGGGAATTCAGGCCACTTTTGGGGGGAACACCCCCCCAATAGGACGGATTTATGAATGTTGGGTCAACATTACGGATGCTCCAGCTAAACAAGAGCAACAAAGAGGAACAACCAACACACACAAAAAACAAAAAATTTGAGTCCAAAATGCCCTGACTAAGACGCGAGGCTGCAAGTAACCCTATGCCGTCAAGCAAAGAGAGGGGTCCTGGAGGGCAATTCTTTCCTAAGAGCTCAGACCACCAAGTCGGAGCTGTCCCTTCAGACAACTTTCGGGAATCAGTTTTAGAAACATCCGACTTTGGGGCTCTCAAAAGCAAGGTGCCTGAAAGGATACGGAGCCTGGTCAAATGAAGAAGTAACCCACAAATCATCCAACTGAGGGTTGACAACATTCCTGGCCCACTATAGTGGGAACCATATGGCAATTAAGGGCTTTCCAACCAATGGTCATCCCATGTAAAGGAGCTTTTGATCAACCCCCAAATGAATCAGCCGCGATATTCCCTGTGGGTCGTTTGTATCCTTCTGGACCTCCTCCATTGGACCCCGATAGTTTTGGGGACGTTGGCTCCGGACTCCGGATCTTGAGAGTTCCAAAAAGCTTCCAACATTCTAGGGGATTCCAATTCCATTCTTTTCAACCTCTCTCAAAAACTGGATCCGTTTTTTTTGGGTTTCTGGAGGTTTAGAAAGAAGGATCCCTGGGTTCAGAATGGGGGTACCCCTAGAACCATGGATTGCTTGGGACCCTTTGCTTTGGATCGGCAGTAGCCCCGGTTCTTAAGGCATAAAAAGCCCGGCCGGTCCTTGCTCTCAGACAGCAACCCAAAGCCGATGGACAAGCCGGTCTGCACCTCCAAACTTCCAAAGATGGCAGACTATTTGATCTATTTGTGTGTGGATCCTTTTAAGAACCCCCCCCCCCTTTTGGTATCAAAGGCAGACTTTAAAAGGAACCACCAATCCGAAGCACCAATTAGAGGGAAGCTGATATACTGTCAACCCTAAACCCTTGTCTGAGTTTGATCCGAAAGGTGTCCCCTTTTGCTAAACATCTGGATCACTTTGGGACCGGAACACCCCCCTACGGGTTCCACTCAGATCCGGGTTCTACCCTTGTGGTCATCTTAAGGGAGCTACCCTGTGGCCCAAGCGAAGGCTTGCAGAAGGGCCATAAAAACGGGGCCTGGATGAGATCACTGGCATAACTAGTTGAGATCGCAACATAAAGCTGGATAAGAAACCAAACAGGTCAATTTCCTGGAACGTCACAGATCATG